CCCTCCCAGCGAAGTTTCCCCAAGCTATTTCCACGGCTTCATCCCGTCGAGCATCCGGTCTCGCTCCCTCCCAGCGAAGTTTTCCCAAGCTATTTCCACGGCTTCATCCCGTCGAGCATCCGGTCTCGCTCCCTCCCAGCGAAGTTTTCCCAAGCTATTTCCACGGCTTCATCCCGTCGAGCCTCCGGTCTCGCTCCCTCCCAGCGCAGTTTTCCCAAGCTATTTCCACGGCTTCATCCCGTCGAGCATCCGGTCTCGCTCCCTCCCAGCGCAGTTTTCCCAAGCTATTTCCACGGCTTCATCCCGTCGAGCATCCGGTCTCGCTCCCTCCCAGCGCAGTTTTCCCAAGCTATTTCCACGGCTTCATCCCGTCGAGCATCCGGTCTCGCTCCCTCCCAGCGAAGTTCCTTTTCCTTCCTTCCTTCCCTTCCTTCCCTTCCTTCCCTTCCTTCCCTTCCTTTCCTTCCTTCCCTTCCTTCCCTTCCCTTCCTTCCTTTCCTTCCTTCCCTTCCCTTCCTTCCCTTCCTTCCCTTCCTTCCCTTCCTTCCCTTCCTTCCCTTCCTTCCCTTCCTTTCCTCCCCTTCCCCCTATTTTCCCTTCCCTTCCTTCCCTTCCTTCCCTTCCTTCCCTTCCTTCCCTTCCTTCCCTTCCTTCCCTTCCTTCCCTTCCTTCCCTTCCTTCCTTCTTCCTTCCCTTCCTTCCTTCCCTTCCTTCCCTTCCTTCCCTTCCTTCCCTTCCTTCCCTTCCTTCCCTTCCTTCCCTTCCTTCCCTTCCTTCCCTTCCTTCCTTCCTTCCGTCCAACACATCTCCGTCGACCACTCAGTCTCGCTCCCCCGCGGCGAGTGCAACTAAACGAGAACCCAAGCATCGGAGATGCTTTTGGGAAAAAAAGATGAAGGACCAGTACACAGTCCTATAGGCCGTCGCCATGCAATGAAACCGAAAAGACGACCAAACAAGAAACACAACAGAACAAACCAAAAACCAAACAAGCAAAGGAACAGCAACCAAAAACAAAAACAAGGGAGTCATTGCAGGCGACTTGGGGCCATATAGCACACTGCAAAAGAAAATGGCTTTGCATTAACTAAGATTGGTATGGCGAGAGCAACCAAGCAAAAAGGGAAAAGCGAAACACAACAATCAGACTCGCCGTACAAGATTTATGAGAAAAAAGCAACACAGCACTGTGCGGAAACCAGGGCTCCCCCCACCTTTCCTCCCACAAGATCGACCTCCACTTGCTATCGCCATGGTGGCGAATCGCCATGGTGGTGAATGTGAATGGCACACGAGTTGTACGCCGATACCGGCTTGTTCTTGCCAACTAAAGTAAACTCAAGCTTCCTGAGAAGACTGCAGAAGCTTTTCTCTCTAAATCGCGATATCACAGATTGACACGAAGTGGTTACTTCCCGTCCCCTGCCACGCTCGACATTTTGTACGGATATGCCACTGATGTATATCGCTCCCCTTTATGGCGTTGTGCCTCCCATAATGGAAGGGGCAATTTTGGTACACCGTCTCAAAGGCACGAAAGTAGACGTTGCCCGAGCAGTAGTTGATGAGCGGATCCAAATGATTGATGGTATCATTTTTTTGATGCTCACCGTATCACACCTGAGCTGCTTAATACCGCGACTTGATCACACGGGCAACCTGTTATGGGTCTGGCTGGAGATCTATGGATGAAATGATTCAACAGAGGCGTCACTCAAAGAATCCTCTGAAGATCTGCCACGAATTAGATCAGGCCGATCCTTGCAGAACCATTGTGACAGCCAGAGAAGATTCGAACTCAACAAATGCCACGCCCGAGTGGGCCCGCAAAAGCAATGGCGAGCCCCACTTCTCATATGCGACAAATGTCGGACGTCAACATCACCAATCGAGTTTCGGCACTCATTGCTGGTTTCCCAGCCAGATGGGCGAGCCAGCTTGCCCGTAGTCTTCTACGTGGCACAAGTCAGCTATGTCCACATCCAAAGTGTACGTACTGGGACCCCGTTCAGACCGGCCGGGACCGAAGGAGCCACGGAGGCCAATCGGCCAGATGGCCAATTGCTTGCTGTGCGATTTGCTGACAATCGGGCCCCTGGCACCGCATGGGATAGACCATTACTTTACCCAGCGGGACTGCTTTAGTGCTCTCATTACAGGCTATGAAGTCGTCCTCGTGGTGCAGTTGGTATCGCGGCACTCTTGTGTCGCTGAGACTGCTGGTGGTGACTAGATTCCCTGCTGGTCCGCGAGTAAGACTCAAGACCCTAGACCCGCCGAAAGGCAACGGGCTCGGAAAAAAAATTAAAGGACCGGATAACCCCACAAGTCAACTTCTTCCAACAAGCAACAAAAGAAAGGCAAAGACGGCATGGGGTAAGCAAGAAAGAGAAAAGAGATGGTGAAGGATTGGTGTGGAGTAAGTTAGGTGTGGACGAGTATGTGTGAGTAAGTTGTGTACGGATGAGTTGTGTTTGTGGGTGAGGTGTGTGGGTGTGCGTGTGTGTGTGTGTGCGAGTATGTGTGTGGTGTGCGGCCACGATCAAAGATGCCCCACGCCAGGAAGTGCGGCGAAGGGCAATCGATGCGTGACCATTGATTATGTGTCCGCAAACGTACAGCGCAGACCATCACGAAAACGGATGGCCCACGACTGGCGTTTGGATGATGTGTGTGTGTGGGTGTGTGTGTGCGTGGGTGTGTATGTGTGCGTGTGTGCGTGTGTGTGTGTGTTTGTGTTTGTCTGTGTGTGTGTGTGTTTATCTGTGTGTGTGTATGTGTGTGTGTCTGTGTGTGTGTGAGTGCGGGTGTGTGTGTGCGTGTGTGCGTGTGTGCGTTGTGTGCGTGGTGTGTGCGTGTGTGCGGTGTGCGTGTGTCGTGTTGGTGTGCGTGCGCGCGTGTGGGGTGGGTGGTGGGGGGTGCACGGGTGCCGCGGGTGCGGGTGCGGGTGCGGGTGCGGGTGCGGTGCGGGTGCGTGTGCGTGTGCGTGTGCGTGTGCGTGCGTGGTGTGTGGGTGTGGGTGTGTGGTGTGTGTGTGGTGGTTTTGTGTGTGTGTGTGACTGCTGCGTGTGTGTGTGTGTGTGTGTGTGTGTGTGTGTGTGTGTGTGTGTGTGTGTGTGTGTGTGTGTGTGTGTGTGGGGGTGTGTGTGTGTGTGTGTGTGTGTGTGTGTGTGTGTGTGTGTGTGTGTGTGTGTGTGTGTGTGTGTGTGTGTGTGTGTGTGTGTGTGTGTTTTTTCCACGCTCCTTTTCTGCAGTCAGAGTCGGCGCTAGCCCTTCAAATGCATGATTTTGCATTTGGTTCTCGTTATGAGAATCTGTCCCTGTACACCGCAGCAGCCTGCCACGCCTGATGGGAAAAAGGCGTGACAGCTATTGATGGACTATGAGAGCTACGGAGTTGGCCTCAGGTCTCAAGTGCAAGGCCTATGTGACGCTGGACGACCCACCAGGGGAGTTGGCCGCTTTGGTCACAGCATTGTGAAACTTCGCTATTTGAGAAGCAACAAAATTGTTTTTTTTTTGGGGGGGCTTCTTTTAGTGGCCCCCTTTTTTTTGGGGGGGGGCTTCTTTTGGTGGCCCTTTAGCACTGGGGGTACGCTCTGGGATTCAGAGGGCATGTAAGCTGGGAGAAATGGGGATCTACCAGCTTGGGCAGCTGGGTGCATGGGGGTGGCTACAGGCAGGGCCGGGCCATGTTCGTCTCAAGGCAGTGTCCTGTCATCGCTGGCAAGATCAATAATGGAGTCGGAAGCGCCTGCTAGGCAAACATCGGTAGAGAAACTTTGCGTGACCACTGGATTTTTTTTTGGCAAAATGCCACCGTCCAAGATTCGATGGGGAGCGCCGGCTAGGCCTTAGCAAAATGCCGCAGTGAAACAACGCCAAAATGGCAATGAGGCCCATCTCATATGGCCTGACAACTGGTAGTTGTCCGCAGGGTGCAGTGCCGCAGGCAGCGGCAGCAGGCAAAATGCCCATGCAAATCAACAAAAGTGGTTGCCTGTTAGGCCCTAGCAAAATGCCGATGTGAAACAACAAATGCAGTGTCAGGATGGGATGTGACACAACTGACTGCAAAGGTAGGCTATGCGGCTTTGAAGGCAGCTCTGTAAAAGGATCTTCCGTGACATGAGTTTCTCTGGTACTCTGTTGTGGCGGACATGACAGCCGGGTTCAATGTCCAGAATCGCTGGGCGACCCACCAGGGGAGTTAGCCACGTTGGATTCCATGGTGAGACGAAAGTTTTTTTTTTGTTTTTTTGTTTTTTGGCTTCTTTTTGTGGCCCTTCTTTTTTTTTTTTTGGGCTTCTTTTCGTGGCCCTTGTGGACTGGGGTACACTCTGGGCTTCAGAGGGCTTGAACAGGGGTATGAGGAACAAACCAGCTGGGGAAGCTGGGTGCATGGGTGGAAACACTCAATGTCACGGTTCTGGATCCGGCTGCGTGGCCAAAAGGGCCAGGAGATCGGAGTCAGCGATACCTGTGGGAGTCCTGCCTGGCATCAGTCTGTGGAGGTCGGCCTTGTTCGTCTGGCACATCCAGAGGCATGTGATTCCCTGTGCAAAGATCTCTGGGATATTCAAAATGCGTTTTGGGGAATGGCCGTCGTCACAAAGCATCCACATTGAGGGGCTGGCCAGGTCCGAGACTTCGGGATAGGTACGGAGAATGGCCTGGTAGTGGCCGTTCTGGGCACCTCCCAAATGAGCAATGCAGGCAATCACGGTGTATGGCATCCACGTGCATGAATGGGACCCCAAGACCGGAATCTGAACTTCCCATCCAAACCGAAGGGCCGCTTGGCATTTGGCAACCGTTCCGTCAGGAGCATGAATCATGCGGTCCACATGCAAAAGCAGCAAGTCCTCAGGGTCCGTGAGTCCAGCCAGCATACCAAGCTCGGTGTGCCACGTCCTAAGCAGCGCAGACAGTTGGATTTCATGATGGTCGACAAGTTGAGGGTCAAATTGCAGTGTCAATGGCATGAACTTGTCACCTGCATCATGCAACACAGTGCTTTGTTCTGTTTGCACTCGGCGCTCCCAGCAGTTGGATATGGCCGACATTGCAGTCCAGCTGGATAGCATGTGTGTAAACTCCGCACTGTCAGCCTGCTCCCCATCCTCATTCCAACCCTCTAATAAATGCTGAAACCATGAAGCATTTTCAAGTGAGAAAAGGGTCCCATCTGCATGTTCAAGGGTTTGCTGTAGGATGGCTGATCGTGCGCCCCAATCTTGAAATGTGAAGGCAGATCTGGATAAAGTGGCCCAGATCATGCTCACAAAAGCGCTATTGGCATAGCAGTCATTCCCCGGATTGGCCATGGCAAGCTGCAAAGCGCGGTCGTGCAAGCTTTGTCGGACTGCAGCATCTAAGGGCTCTGAGAGGTCTTGCCTTTCCCGCGGCCGCGGCTCTTCCCCTGGGGGTTGTGGCCTTTGCCCATGGCTTGTTGAAGGAGCAAGGCCGGTTTCGAGAGCACCTGGGAATGCTGTTTGACCGACATTCCTAGCAACGACCACACTGTGTTGTGACAGAGCTCCACCATGAGTTCCCAGGCTTCGGCTTCGCGATGTGAGATCTGTAAGATCCACGGGATTGCTTCCTGGCTGCTCTGGGGGTTCTTGAGGCTCTGGAACCTCACCACGTGTGCGTTGCTCTGGAAGTGCTCCTCCAAGATCTGGAGATTCCGAAGCATCTGTGCCATGGTCACTGGGCTGCGGGAGGCCTTGATCAGCTGCTTCTGTTCTGGTGACCACTTCTGGTAGCTCCAGCTCCCGTCCGGATGAATGGTGCCTTTGTTCACCGCTACATCCCACAGCTGATCGCCTTGTTTGCTGGCTGCCAGCTGTTGGACCCGTCGGTGGAGTTCTGTGATCACTCCCTTCATCAGGTAGGTCCTGAGGTTGGGCCATCTCGTGTTGTCCTTCTGCTGGGGCAAATCCTCCCGCCACTTGCTGGCCAACGTTGCCAGATGAGGAACTATGCCCTCCGGTCGATTTTGGCAGAACAAAACGAAGCAGTCCTGTCTTTGGTTCAGCTGGATGCTCCTCTCGTGGCTGAGAAGAAGTTGTCCCATCAGTCGAAGGAGCGTTGTGATCGCCTCCTTGTTGAGCCCGTCGTGCTCTTGGTCGTCCTTGGCCTTGGCCTTGTGCCGCTTGGGATGCTGTTCTTCGACGCTTCCCTCTTGATGTTTCCGAGACCCCAATAGGAGAGGGCCAAGGGCTGCTAGTCCCTCCATCAGAGCCTGGTCGTTGGGATCCATCAGAGCGTCCATGAAGAGGCTGTAGCAGAATGGCAATCTGGAGGACCACCGGGCAGCTTGAGACAAAATGACTCCGTTGGATCTGCATTCTTTGCTGTAGCTGCTGGTCATTGTCATTTGCAGGCAAATTGTAAACTTGTTGGCACAACGTGCACTGAAAATCTTGCGACTGCAGCTTTGGCAAAAGGTCATGCAGTTGGAAGGCAATCTGAGTGGCCCACGCACATGTTTGAGGGTGCACCGTCAGGAGATGTCGCAGGAGCTCTGCCGGTGGATAGTGGCCTCCACATTGCATGCATCTGGATTTCAGGGCTTGCACCACCGTTGTATCAGTCCAGAGCTTTGCAAAGTCCCTGGAGACTAGGGAAGCAATCATCTGTTGTGTCAGGGCTTCATCCCGCAATGGCGTGAGCATGGGTGCCAGTGTGTCCACATGAAACTGAGTCGGGACCAAGAGCTGCACATCACTGTTGACCATCATCATCGCAACCTGACGCAATGGTGTGCAAATGTGAGCAAGTCCCACCTCATGCGCCTGAGGGTTACAGATGCAACCTCTAGAGGCCATGACCACCTGGAGGAAGTACCTCAGCATGGGTCGCGATGAGTTCCACAGTGGTCCATGTGATTGGAGTAGATGCGCTACAACGTCGCCTGTGCGCATGTACTTGGCCTCACAAAACTGACATGTGGTAGTCAACTGAAGCCGCTGGTGTGCTGAGAGGCCATTGGGAGAAAAATCCCCTGTATGTAGCCATGCGCTCCATTTGTGGGTATTGTCCATGGGATTGTGTGAAGCCAACGGATCAAATGCATCGCATCTACCCTCAGTGATGTGACGTCGCAGGCCTGAGCGACTGTCAAACTGCATGGAGCAGTGCCGGCATTGATCACTGCCCTGAACAGAGTCCCTAGAAGGGACCCAGTCGTTCAGTGTGTGGTTGTGGTCCCTGGCCATATGCTGATACAATTGTCCCTGATCATCAAACTGCTGAACACAAATTTCACATGTCAGTTCCTGCTGAGCACGGATGTCTGGTTCCTGTAGCTGAAGCCTGAGAATGCCAAGCTGTAACGTCACTGGACAGCTATGGACCCGGCTGTACTGCTTGGCGCACAGAGCACACGGTGAGACCAGTTGCATCACATGCGTGAGTTGTGCCCCTTTGACAACTCCACCCTTCAGCTGTTCATCATGGTAGAGGCGGTAGTGGCTGTGCAATTCTTGAAACCTGTTGCACCATGTGCCAAATATGGCGCAGTGGTGTGTGAGATGTTCCAAACCCACCGACAGTTGGCAAAGGGTGGGCCAATCATCATTATGCAGGCAACGCTCTAACTCAGGCCAGAACGGCTGTGTTGTCACCTGAAAGTGCCGATACACCTGATCTCTGGCTGGCATTGGCGTGAGCCGTACATCTGTGGTCGATGTGGGCATCATGGGAGGCACCTGGCAGCAAGCTCGTTGAACATGGACAATAAAGGCTTTCCATGAGGAGAAAGTAAAGTGACAATTGTTACATTGGGGTTTACCATTGAGTGTCATTGCAATTGGGGATGTTGAGATCGTACGGTATTGGGGACTGGCATGGTGTGTGGTCAAGTGTCTGCGCAAGTTGGGAATGGAATCTGTGGCAAATTGGCAGTGAGGACATTGCTGACGTGCCTGGACTCGGATCGGATCGTCCGGGCTGGCACTTATGGGCACCTCCGGTGCATGCACTTGCATGCTGTGAATGAGATGCAAGAGGTCGTGAAGCTGATTCCAGTCCAAATGACGCAAAAAATCATTAGGGCTCAAAATGGTTGCACGCCTCTGGATGCGTTGCAGCAGGCCCATGGCAAGGGCTCGAAGCATCTCAAGCGGGGGATCGATCCGATGCTGTTGAAATGCAGCTTGATGTGTGGTGTGGGTGATATACGAATGGTCTTGTAGCACTGTGCGGACCATTTTGTATACTGTGCCCTGAAAGTCGAGAAGGACTGGTATGGTCACATTGGTGGCTAGTAGACCATAGGTTAGCACCGTAAACACACAAGTCTTCCACAAATACATGCGATGGGCACGCGTCAATTGCCTGCTTCTGAGCCATGCACGCAACCGGGCAAATGCTAACCAGCTGGCTTGTTTGCGATGGTTCCAAGTCTGTAGTTCAAAGGCATGATAGCTGATACAAACACCAAGGTAGGAGCCCTTACTGCGCAGCGGCAAGCAGGTATGTTCTCTTCCCAGGCGGGGCACACGGATGCTGGCGCCCGTGGGCGATCTGTGCAATATGCCTTTGAGAGCTACCCGTGCATTGGTGCCAGCATAGGCAATCAGCATGTGGGACTTGGAGTAAGACAAAGACAGCTTCATGTTCTCAATCACATCTAGGGTATGACCAATGTTTACCAAATGGGTGTGAAGTTCATGTTTGGATCGATACAGGCAACCTACATGCACGTCATCTGCGTAGATTGTCAAGCAATCATGAACCCATTGATATCCAGTGATTTGGGCGACCTGTCTCAGCAAAAGGTCCATGAAACTCACCCACAACAGGGGGGCCAGTTTACATCCTTGTCGTAGGCCTTTCCCTACAGGGACTGATGTGGTGGCACCTCTGAATGAAAGGTTGTAATGAGTGTCTTCATGCCAGCTGGCTGCCAATTGCACCAAATTGGGCGGAGTGCCTAATTGGATGAGATGTTCAAAAATGGCACGCCTGTCTGCACTGTCGAATGCCCGATTCAAGTCCAGAAACAATGAGAGTCCTCCACAAACGGTGAGTTTGGCTTGGTTGGCAATCTGGTTCTTGGTGGTACGCCGGTGAGCAGCCACCATTTCCCGGACACTCCTACTATGGTGTGAAACCCGCAGGATCGCGTCAGTTGCAGCACGGTACGGTAGAAAACCAAACTGCGGGAATTGATTCAACTGAGGGAAAATACAAGCTTTGATTTTGGTGGTGATCAGCCCCATGACGATTTTTCCCAACGGCTCCATGAGTGATATGGGTCGTAATTGGTCGGGGTGTGTATTGGGTTTTCCCGGTTTGGGGAGGAAAAATAACCAAGAGTCCTTCCAATTTTTGGGAATGATTGGGGGTGATTGGGACCACCAGTCTTGGAGAAGACTATAAACAAAGCTGGCAACTTCCCAAGGAGCACTGCGCCAGACAACTCCTGGTAGGAAAGGCTGCGCAACTGACTTGTTGGTGTGGACCTTTGCCACCGCTTCAACCAATTCGTCTAACTCAAAGGGAATCCCCGGTGGTGCCGCAAAGAATGTCGGCAGGCGGCTGGGGCCTTGCCACATCTGTTTCACAAAAGCCACTGTGAGGGAATGTGCCATGTATTGATCGGCGATAGTGCCATCTGGTCCCCTAAGCCGTGCCCGTGCCAATGGACGTTTGGGCGCAAAGCGGTTGATGATGTTGAACATGGAGTGTGTGTCATGGACATGGGCTGCATTAGATACCTCTTGGCACAACGCTTGAAACTGTTCCTTTCGGGCCTGTCGGAGGGCCTTCTGTTGGGTGCGTTGGAGCACTTGGTATCGGCTGCGATGATGCCATGCCTGCATTATCATGAGTAAGTTCACTCTACCCGTCTGTGCAAGAGACCGCAACTGCTTCTTGAAATACCATTTGTCTACAATTGTGTGGTGAACCACGGAAAGATCTGCCTGAGACACAGGGGGGTTCTTGGGAGAGAAAAATTGGTGAAACGCAATAGAGACCTGATCATGTATTTTTTGAATGAGAGCTTCTGGGGAAAGGGCCTGGTGGTCCGCATGAACTGCTTCCACAACTTGCTGTCGTAAGTCGTGCCATGCCTGAGTCTCCTGAAGTCCGGCAATCCTACACTTGGATCGTTGCAGGAATGTGCATGATGTGGGTCGATCATATGTCTGATATGCCATGTGCTTGGCTCTGATATTACAAAGGATGGGTATTGTTGGCAGGTACAAAATCTGCGTCATTCAAAAACTGGACCTGCTTGGAGATGCCGTCACTGGCCAACATTTTAATTAAAAAATGGTCAATCCTGGATGTGGTACCCCCATGGACATAAGTGGCTCCTGATGCACCCCAAGTGTTGATGGCTGTGAGGCCATGCAGCTTCAAAATGCCTTGGAGTCGTGCCTGGTCATGATGGGTGGATCCAGTGGTCATCCTCCCATGCCATTTGTATGTGGTCGTACCAATCCACGGTGGATGAGAATCCAGTGAGCAGTTGAAATCTCCTGCACAAATCAAATTGTTACGGGAAGGCTGTTTGTCAAGTGCCGTATTGAGGGCATCCCATACCTGTTCCCGTTGCTGAGCGGAGATCTTGTTCCTGTTGTCAACATGCTGGTAAATCGCCAAGATGTCCAGCGCCCTGGAGTCGAAATGCACTCGGACATGGACAAGACGACCATCCACGATGGCCTGATGGCCAATTTGCTCTGGGCATGCCAAACGTCTGGAGATCATGATCAATACTCCACCACTTTTGTAGTCAGCTGAAGCCGAATGCACATACATCCATGCTTTGTCACTCCAGGTGGATGAAAAGCTCCAACGCGTCTCCGTTAATACCACAATGTCCACTGGGTGGTGTTGCAGCCAGAGCCTTATTTCAGCCAACGTTGTCTGAGCCAATCCTCCAGGATTCCAATGTAGGCAGGTTAATCGACCTTTGCATGGTGCCGCTGCATTGGGAGGCTGAGAACATCGTACTGGTTTGGAGTCAGATCGAAGCTTCTGAACCAAGACGGGGGGGAAGTCCTCCACTTGCATGCGGTGACCATGATAGTGTGAAAATCCATTCAAAATCGCTCTGCGGCAGGCCCGTTTGTAGCTCCTCTTCTGTACTGCTGTAACTGGTGCTGTGGGACGATTCGAGCGTGTGCTCATTGGCGGCTGTTGTCCATGTTTTGCAGTGCTCTGACAAAAAGACGTAATCCAATTGTCTGCTCCCACTGTGGGTATGGAGCCACAGTAACCCTCACCCTGATGGCTTTGAAGGTGGAACCCCGAACAGTCGTAAATTCTTCTTTGGGATTGAGTCGGTCTGCAGGGAAATGTTGAACCATCTGCCATCCCCGGACTTGGGACCGGGTTGCGGTGTGCATGCACCTGTAGTGTGATGATGAATCCCAATACTATTTCGAAAAAGTGCATAGGTGCGGCTAACTGATCTGCACAAGGGATACCTTTGTCCAGCAGGTGTAGTCAGCAGCCAACACCGAAATCCAAGGGAAAACACCAATGTCCTGCTGTAATGGGTCAGTCAGTGCGGGTGCCCAACCCGTGTATCAGCCAAAAAGTCCAAATCTGTAAACCAAGGGCCAGGGATGATATCGGGAGCCTGCCCCGGCCTGAAAAATGGGAAACACTCTGCTGGACCAGTGGCGCGTGCTGGATGTCCAATCCAATGGCAGGGAAGGAGAGCGAAGCTACACGGGGGGCAACAGCTGCAGAGAATCCCCTAGTGGCCTCACACCACTTGCGTGCGGTGCTCGCGACCGCAAAGGGCTTGTGTGTGTGTGTGTGTTTGTGTTTGTGTTTGTGTTTGTCTGTGTGTGTGTGTGTTTATCTGTGTGTGTGTGCGTGTGTGTGTGTGTATGTGTGTGTGTGTCTGTGTGTGTGTGTGAGTGCGGGTGTCGGCGTGGACCATGTACGCGATGAGGTCAGTACCTGGCAGGTAGTATCAGAAGTTGCGATCACGCTGAAATTGCAACAAAACAGCTGTCCATGGACAGTGCAGAAACAGCAAGTGACATACAAATAGCTGCAACTGTTTGCACAGAACCTGTTCTGAGCTGGGACGAACGCCATCTTTTCTTTCGATCACATTTGCATCGTGTTCAGGAGCATATAGTGTTTGTCCTGGCGCAACTGCTGAATAACGGTGGCATTGTGGTTGCCAAAAGCATTCAGCAGTTACGGCAGGAGGACTTAGCATCAAATGTATCTTCGCACGGCGCGTCATTCGATGTGAGTTTGTGCCACGCCTGCCACGTGAAACGAAGGTGGATGTCAGGTTGTGCCACGCCTGCCACGCAAAGTGCCGCGGCGTCACAGGCGCCAAATCCCGGCCCAAGCGCGCCACCCAGTACCATAAGTGCCACGCCTGCCACGCAAAACGACGGTGGATGTGAGTTTGTGCCACGCCTGCCACGTGAAACGAAGGTGGATGTCAGGTTGTGCCACGCCTGCCACGCAAAGTGCCGCGGCGTCACAGGCGACAAATCCCGGCCCAAGGGCGCCACCCAGTACCATAAGTGCCACGCCTGCCGCCTGCCACGCAAAACGACGGTAGATGTGACTTTGTGCCACGCCTGCCACGTGAAACGAAGGTGGATGTCAGGTTGTGCCACGCCTGCCACGCAAAGTGCCGCGGCGTCACAGGCGCCAAATCCCGGCCCAAGGGCCGCCACCCAGTACCATAAGTGCCACGCCTGCCACGCAAAACGACGGTGGATGTCAGGTTGTGCCACGCCTGCCACGCAAAGTGCCGCGGCGTCACAGGCGCCAAATCCCGGCCCAAGCGCGCCACCCAGTACCATAAGTGCCACGCCTGCCACGCAAAACGACGGTAGATGTGAGTTTGTGCCACGCCTGCCACGTGAAACGAAGGTGGATGTCAGGTTGTGCCACGCCTGCCACGCAAAGTGCCGCGGCGTCACAGGCGCCCAAGCCGGCCCAAGGGCGCCACCCAGTGCCATCTGTCCCACGCCTGCCACGCAAAACGACGGTGGATGTGAGTTTGTGCCACGCCTGCCACGCAAACCGACAGTAGATGTGAGTTTGTGCCACGCTTGCCACGCAAAGTGCCGTGGCGTCACAGGCGCCCAAGCCAGTCCAAGCGCGCCACCCAGTGCCATGAGTGCCACGCCTGCCACGCAAAACGACGGTAGATGTGAGTTTGTGCCACGCCTGCCATGTGAAACGAAGGTAGATGTCACCAAGTGCCACGCCTGCCACGTGAAAGGAAGGTGGATGTCACCAAGTGCCACGCCTGCCGCGCAAAGTGGCGCGGCGCCCCGGGCGTCACAGGCGCCAAATCCCGGCCCAAGGGCGCCACCCAGTACCATAAGTGCCACGCCTGCCACGCAAAACGACGGTGGATGTGAGTTTGTGCCACGCCTGCCACGTGAAACGAAGGTGGATGTCAGGTTGTGCCACGCCTGCCACGCAAAGTGCCGCGGCGTCACAGGCCAATCCCCGCCAAGGGGGGGGCGCCACCCAGTAACCATATAGTTGCCGACGCCCTGCCACGCAACGACGGTAGAGGGGAGTTTGTGCCACGCCTGCCACGTGAAACGAAGGTGGATTTCAGGTGCCACGCCTGCCACGCAAGTGCCGCGGCGTCACAGGCGCCAAATCCCGGCCCAAGGGCGCCACCCAGTACCATAAGTGCCACGCCTGCCACGCAAAACGACGGTGGATGTGAGTTTGTGCCACGCCTGCCACGTGAAACGAAGGTGGATGTCAGGTTGTGCCACGCCTGCCACGCAAAGTGCCGCGGCGTCACAGGCGCCAAATCCCGGCCCAAGCGCGCCACCCAGTACCATCTGTCCCACGCCTGCCACGCAAAACGACGGCAGATGTGAGTTTGTGCCACGCCTGCCACGTGAAACGAAGGTGGATGTCAAGTTGTGCCAAAGTGTATGGTGACAAAGTGTGTGGTGACAAAGTGTGTGTTGACGAAGTATTCGTTGATAAAGTGTGTGTGGACAAAGTGTGTGGTGACAAAGTGTATGTTGAGAAAATGTATGTTGACAAAGTGTATGTTGATAAAGTGTGTGTGGACAAAGGACAAAGTGTATGTTGAGAAAATGTATGTTGACAAAGTGTATGTTGATAAAGTGTGTGTGGACAAAGTGTGTGGTGACAAAGTGTATGTTGATAAAGCGTGTGTGGACAAAGTGTTTGTGGACAAAGTGTTTGTGGACAAAGTGTGTGGTGACAAAGTGTGTGTGGACAAAATGTGTGGTGACAAAGTGTGTGTGGACAAAGTGTGTGTGGAGAAAGGGTTTTGGACAAAGTGTTTGTTGAGAAAATGTATGTTGACAAAGTGTATGTTGATAAAGTGTGTGTGGACAAAGTGTGTGGGGACAAAGTGTTTGTTGAGAAAATGTATGTTGACAAAGTGTATGTTGATAAAGTGTGTGTGGACAAAGTGTGTGGTGACAAAGTGTATGTTGATAAAGCGTGTGTGGACAAAGTGTGGAGGAGGGCGGAGGAGGAGGCGGAGGAGGAGGCGGAGCCCGGGATACAGAATCAAAAACAAGAACCCCACACAAAGATGTGGAGAAAAAGCTCTCAGAAGAACCTGGTGCAACCAGCAGTAATGAAGAACTTCTACCCAATGAATGACACGAGCAGTCCTCGATGTTATCGTTCCGTCTGCGGAGGCATTACTGCCGAATGCTGGCGAAAGGGTGCCACAGTGTGCTAGTCAACTGGCCTCCGATTACAGTCTGCTTGCAAGGAAGTTTGCACGAGTTCGCCGTTGACCTTTACAGGCGCATTGGCAGCAGGTCCACATTTGAAGCGGTCACGGTCAATGTGCCGCCCCTCGCTGGCCGTATCTTTTTTGCCAGGCAGCAGTCTACCTTGCACAGGTCAGCATCGACCAGCAATGGGCGGACATGAATCTTCCCGTTTTTTGTCCGAGCCCGTTGCCTTTCGGCGGGTCTAGGTCTTGAATCTTACTCGCGGACCAGCGAGGAATCCAACCACCACCGGCAGTCTGTCTTTTTTTTTTCCTCGAGTTTGGCCGATGTCGCACTGTGGCTCGGTCCTAACATGAGTATAAGCAGTTAAAAACGAATTTGCACACGGACCCAGAAGGCCCAGAAGTGCAGGCAAATCACAACGAACCAACAAAAAACACAAACAACACCGAAAAGACGACCCGCAAATCCCCCAGCCAGATTTGCGTTTCGTCAAAGCGAAAAACAGCAAACCAGACACAGAAAAAGGGGCCGGAGCCCAGACAACACCCACCAACAAGATTTGCCAAAGGACACAGTGGTTTGACCACTGTATCTGTCTCAAAAACATGCGAAAATGAATTAAGTACCACGACATTCAAGCAGATACGAAGGCCTAGCCCGTAAGCATATCTACTCAAGCGTAGATGCGCCAAAGCTGTACATAAGCCCGGGGCAGCGAATTATGCCTCTCTCAGCGTCCTCTCAGATCAGCTTGTCCAGAAGGCCTTCCATAGACTGAATCGTTACCATAGTATACCGTGAGCAAAGAAGTCGTGGTGGTCACTGTGCCGGGTACCCCCCAGTGGGGGGGCGGTCAGTAGTGGCGCACAGGAAGCTTCGCAAGCCAGCGAAAAGCTTCCATACTGCCATCGCAAAGGTAGTGCTGGGCCCCTAATTTCATAGGGGAAATGTAAAACTGCAAATTGCTTGAGCTCCGCCGGTAGTACTCCTCAGCAGCAGGCAGCGCTCGCAACGATGAAATATCATGTTCTAACAAGTAAGCATTCATTAGCTACACCCTAGAAGCTCGAGCCAATCACCCCAAACATAAAAAGAACCAAAATCAACAATAAAATAAACCAACACAAAACTAACACAAAAACATCGATGGGAAAAACGGAGTGATGAATCTCTGATCGAATCGCGCATCTCCCCTTTTTCCATTGCCAGTTTGATATGTGGCTGTGCCACATCAGCTGCGGTCATGGTTGATGGTTGCATTTCACCCATCCCATGCAGAGAGGTTGAGAGTCAAGCCCTTCAGGCTAGACGTCAAAGCCATGTGGATTTCTTTGTTTTTTTTTACACAGCCCAGAAATGATAGGACCATAGTAAATGATTAAACGTGGTCCACATGGATGTCTTAGCTTATGCAAAACGCCACGGATGCTGAAAGGACAGGTTGTCCAG